CCGCCTCGAGCGTTTCACTCCCTTTGGGAGACCTGGGGACAACGCGCCTGGGCGCTCCCGCCGCGGCAGCAGGTCCTGCCGGGAGGAATCCGCCCTCGCCCGCTTCCCCGTCGCAAACCGGCGTGGCCGTCCCGGGCTCTGCGCCCCGGCTCTTCCTGAGAGCAAAGTAACGTGGATTCCGCTCCCCTCTGTGCTGCTGAGCAGGGATAAGTTCAGCTCTTTGATGGCATGGATTTCCTTGCTGGGGATCCCTTTTCCTCGCTGCAACCCATCACGCATCCCCGTCTCGCTTTTAGTTCTGGAGGGAGAAGCTAGGTCTGACACAAGCACCTGCTGGTACGACCCCTTCACCAGCATTCAGGGGTCTGTCTTCCCGCGTGTGGCCGTGCTATGGTGCATTCATTTCTCCAAGGCCTCTGATTTAATGAAAGATGTTTGAAAAAACCCACAGCATTGTATATTCTAGCAAGCCCCCCTTGAAGTTATTTTGGACTTGGAATTTCTGCGTATTCTCCCGATAATGCCGATCCACTACGTTCTGTTGCTTCAATACACATTTATTTAAGACGTTCCATACTACCATTACAAACTCTAATGCTGTAATCCTCACTAAGGCAAAATTATGTTTAAAAATAGAAAAAGCTCTCTAGAAACAGAATTTTTAGAAAAATACTTAAAAGCAGCAACAAGACATCTATTAACAGCCTTGCTAAAGCTATGTCATTTAACGATTAAAGCTGAGGACTTACCGTAAGGCGGGCAAGCGCTGTTCGCAGCATTACCGTAGGTCTGCTGGGTGATCTTCGCCAAGTCTTTTAACGTCATTAAATAAGGGTCGTCTTTGTCACTTTTGAGATTAGTCCATGGTGAGCAGAGCATGTTGTGCATTACATAGTACATGAGACGCCACAGAAGTTATGCTTCCTTGTTATTTTTAATGTATAAATGAGCAGCTTTTTCGCTGGCTGAAAATTCTACCAAAATTACTAAATTACATTGAAAATTACACGTTCACCTAAAGTGCAAAGAAGTAGGCCGTCCAGACAAATAATCTCCTAAAAACAGACTCATCATGGGAAGAGAAAGTAAAGACCTTCGAAGTCTTGGGTAAGTGAACTAAGCACATTTACTGAGCTCAAGCCATTTAAACATTACTTAAAACCAGTAGAGATTTTTAAACCAGGCCTGAGGCAAAAGATTGACTGTGAATGGCTCCAAATTTCATAAGAATTTAAACATAGCTCCTAGCTTTGTCGTTTTGGCCCCAGCTTTATAATGATCTCAGCTAACGGCCCGTATCTGTACCACTCGGCACACCTGGGGAGCTCTCATCGGGACTCCCATTTCGCGCTGTGCACCTCTTGCTCCTTATAACCAGACTCGTAAGTCTGACACGTTCTGTTGCTCGTTGCTATACTACTCTTCATTTAGCTAAGTCTTGCTATCGTTCCTCTGTTTTTAGCTGGATTTCTGTTGCGCTTTAAGATATAAAGCACCACAGGATTAAGCTTTTACAACAATTTCTTCCTCTCGGTAAAGTCCCAGTTAAGCTCTTCTCACCCCACACCAACTCAAGGGCTAATTTTCTTCCCTGGCAAACTGCAAATCAATTTACTTTCAAATAAGCCATTTTTTCTAGGGATAGGGAATATAATTTTTCTTATTATCCAGAAAACTAATTTCTTTTTCAGGCAGTTCTTTCCCCAAGAGTGTGAATTGCATTTTACTCTAGTAGTTACCACAGACAGCCAGTGCTTTCAAGCTACAAAGACAATACTGTCGGGTTTCTTTTCTGCTCTTTTATATGATTGATTAGTTTACTAAATTGACAGGTCATCACAGTCTCTTAATCTCCTGGCAAGCAACTAGGATATAATTCCATTACTTGTTCTATTTTCAATCCACCCCTGAGTTTCTGATCTCGCACTGAGATGCGGGGCGCGCATCATAAAACGTGGTCACAATGGTAAGACTGTCAGTAAGATACATTTTGACACCACTTGAAACTTGGCTCCCAGGTAATTTTTCTAGCGTTCATCTTTTTAAATGCTTCATTTATCCATGTTAGAAACCCCCCAGGTGACTAGAGGTAAAACACAAGCACAAATGGCTCTCTTCTACCTGTACTCGTCAGTCTGACTGCAACTCCAGTGGCAACGGCCTGCCTGTTCAGCGATGGACTCGCTCCAGCTGTGAAAGAAAATCACATGTCTCAATTTTGCTAATAGAAACAGGATAAAAATAGCATATCCCCAGAGACCCCTTCCCTTAAAGGCTGTCAGCAGACACCTTGACCCATTTTTGCCATCTGTCAGAACGTACGTCTCCTGAGCTAATGTATTTGTGCCATTTGCCAAGTATGGTGGCAGTAACTATAAAACTCCACACAGAGAAAAGGACCTCTGCTACAGCTCCAGACGACTGGTATTTTCATCCTCACAGTAGTCTGCAGTTGTTTAGAGCTGTCCTCACATTTATGCAGTAATACGCATGAATAACGGGTGAGGTCTAGGTTAAAAGGCAATTAGGTATGGCCTGCCGCCCCTGTCCTGAGAGCAGAAGGGAGCTACCTCTCAACTTCGGCTGTTCGCAGTCCTCCTACAAGATTCATTCGGGCTCAGGAAAAAAAACGCAAGTCAATAACCCCCACCCCAAAGGCTCCCTCGCTTCCGCAACACAGACGACTGAGGCAAATGGGAAACTGCGTACGGCCTAAAGGGAGAGAGGAGTTCTGAAAGACAGCTTCCCTCAACACTCCTGCATCAAGTAAAGATCGTAACCCACGGCAGGCAGCAGGCAAGCACAGAGAAGTCGCATTTTTTCCTCAGTGGACAACAGCGAGAGAGAAATATGAAAAGGAAAAAAAAAAATCTTTTCATGGGGATCATTTCCAATAATTTAAATGAAAATTGCACTTGAGGAGATGTCAGTAGGAAAGTACACGCTGTCTTTTTTTATTATTTTTTAGCTAAAATGATGTAATTTTTTTTGTCATAATTAAAAGGCAAACAGCTCTTCTTTCCTTTTGCCCTGTTTATAAATCAATTTGTACTTTAACCACCCGTGCCCTGGCCGCACTATGTTGAATATTAGCTTAGGAGGATGGTACCTAAACAGAACTCGCACGAAAATCCAACATACGGGGCTGAAGTCTTTTCTTCTCGTCATTCCTGCGCAGACCCACTAGCTTAGCACATAAAAAGACAACGCAGCATATGCATTTAAAGCACAGTGACTGTCTTAGAATCAGTCCAAATGAGAGAAAATGCAGTGCAAACCTCTACTGCTCTCCAGTGGAAATTAATGCCATCACCACCGTTAGAGTTCTGCCACTTCTCAAGTGGCTTTTTCATTTTTAAAAACACGCATTTCTTTGTTCCTGTACTGCCACTGGGCCACCGGGTTCCTTAGCCTCCTTCCACATGAAATACTTCTACTTAATGAAGAATAGCCATTTCCCCAAATACGAATTATCTGATAAAAATGAGGGATGTGAAGCAACTCTGAAACCTCCCAATCTCAGTAGATGTTTTCAAATTTACCGTAAACATCTAGAATAGCTCACGTTATTCCCACGA